TATATATATATATATATATATATATATATATATATATATATATATATATATATATATATGCAATTAATATTTATTAATTCAAACTATAAATTTACTGTTTCAAATAAATATGTTTCTGAGCTTACAGTGGTTGGAACAAGAAATACGAATGTTTTACCTTTTTAGGTACAATCAATAAATACAAATTGATTAATGAATTAAAATTTCATCTAATAAATTATAATTCTGTTTGGCAGTAATAATGAAACACAATAAACCTTCTGAAATTAAAGACAGTATTTAAAGTTATTTAAAAATAGAGGGTATTTAAATACTTGGTCTCTAAAGTCAAATACAATATCATTGAGCTGCCAGTCCACCAATTATTCTGAGCATTAGTTTCCAAAAAGAAATTGATGAGCAAATTATGGACCATTATGGAATTAATTTAGCATAACTTTACCCCTTTTTTATATATATATATATAATTATAATAATTAATCTTACATTAATTACCCACAATAAATATATTTCTCTTGGCTTCATTTATTTCGTAGCTGGTCGTACTAACAACTATGAAGTGCATTATTATTCAATATTAATACTCTTCATTCTTTTCTTTTTCTTTTTTTAGTTTCATCTTACGTGTGCGATTTTACAAGCAAAATAAATAAATTTCATTTCACTTGAGTGTGCTTAGATCTTAAATCGACAAATTTTAATTTTTTTTAATGTAAAAATTAATCATTTACCCATAAACCAGACTTATTCCAATTATATTTAGATCCACACAATACATACATAATTTGTTATGGGTACAAAAATAGAATTTTATGAATTTTTAAATTTACTTTTGTAATTGGATAGTGTAGTCTTTTAATAATATAATTTTTTTAAAAATTTGTCAAATCAATAAAACTTCTTATTATTAATAAGTTTATGGATGATCCAAGATCGTCTCTCGTTCAAAGAAGTAGGTGAACTATTCTTGAGCGAGGATGAACTATAAATTTGTTGGTAATTTACGAATCTATCTTAAAATTACACAACTCATTTGTCATTCAATAAAAACACGAGACACGTGAAAGAGAAGTAACAAAATAAATATATAGAAAAGGTTATGACTATCTTCCTAATTAAAGTTTCTGATTTTAGTTTTCCCCACTAATATTATAGAAAATTTTAACTTTAAAACCCACATTTTTCACAAAAGGATATATAAAAAAAAAAGGACTAAAAAACTAGAAAAAAAGTAAATGGTCATTTAAGCCCATTCCCCGGAGTGGAAATTGCCAATTCAGGCCAAGACAAGCAATCAGCAGCCCCTACAAATCCGGCGGCGTCTCCATTCTCAAACTGCCACGCATTCGGCGCTCCGCCGTGCCCGCTTTCTCCCAGTCCGAGAAACGGCCAAGCCACCCTAGAACTAGCCGCCCCATAGCCCAGATCCTCGAACCCCGACCCGAGCCCGAGCCCGAACCCACCCAAACTCCAAAACCCAGAAGCGTGTGTGTTCAACAACGACGTAAAGCTCCCACACATATTCCCACCGGCCGCCTTCGAGTCTCCTCCGCCACCGCCGTGGCCACTGACAAGAGGCAGCAGCATCGAAGTCGCCGGTAACGAATGGTGATCCAGTTGAGAAGCAGAGTAACCGAACGACCCAGATGAAGAAGAGACAACCGCCGTAGCCGCGGGAAAGCAAGTACGAGAGCGTTTAGCATTCTTCCGGCTACCACCACCGACGGGAATGTCGCGAAGGGTCCCACCATGAGTCCAATAACGACGGCAGGACTTACAAAAGTGCCTGGGCTGAGAGAAATTATAGTTGTTGTAATAACAGAACTTAGTATTAGTTGAATCACAGCGTGGGCAAGGGAGGTGCTCTTGCTCCGATGGAGGGCAGACACCCCCACCGGATCCGAGGAGCTTGGAAGCAGTCTTGCGGTGGTCACCGACGTCGGAAGGCATTGGACACAATAAGTAATTAAAAAAAAAAAAACACCAAATCGAAAAGGGAAAAACGAAAGAACTCAATGGAAGAGAGGCGAAAATTGGAAGTGCAGAGATTAAGAAATGAGGAAATGGGGATTATAAGGAAGAAGAAGAAGAAGAAGAGCGGTCAGAGCAGACTGAGACAAAAATGAAAGACAGAATAAAAACAGCTTTAAAGAGAGTGTTGGTGTTGCGTTGAGGGCGACAATATTCAGACGGCGGGTCGGCTACGTACCCCTAAGGCCCTAACCCTAACCCTAACCCCCATTCTTCTTTGAATCTCTGCGTCTCTCTGCCCTGCCACCACCAACAACAGCAGCAGCCGCAGCTATCTGATAGTTTTATTTTACGCTCCTTCCCCTCTTTCCCTTCTTCGTCTTCTCAATAATATTATTGCTCTCCTTTTTCTTTTATAAATAATGTAATCTCAATCCTCCCTATATTTTATAATTTATATTTACATTATACCCTTCAACATTTTATTTATTTCAAAAATACCCCTCCCTTTAAAATTTGGGATGTATTTCATAGTCATTCATAAAAATACCCATTTTTCGTGGTTAAAATCGATTACATTCAATTGTGTTTAATCCATTTTTTTTAATTTTAAAATCATCTTTGTATCGTAATAATTTTAAATTTTATAGTATAATTATTAAACACGAAAAATGGGTATTTATGAACTTTTAATCTGTTTTTAAAAATATCTAATAAATTCCAAACGTGAAAGTTACCAATGGCGAAAGAGAATGAAGTGATAATGCCACGTGATCCAATTCCACGATTATTTACGCATATTTAATTCCACGATTATTTACGCATATTTAATTCCACAATTATTTACGTAGATTTAATTCCACAATTATTTACGTAGATTTAATAAAAATGAAAGAGGGGGAGACAATCATGTCTTGTCGGGCAGCGTGGGGAACAATAATTGGGTGTTTCCTCATTTATTTATTTATTTATAAAAATATATTTCAAATTCGTATGAGGGCTGCATTTTCTTTTTTATTATCTATTAAATTATATACTAATTAATAGGTTAATTGAAAAAATAAAATTGAAATTCATAAATGTGAATAAAGAGTTGGGTGTAATGCAATTTTTATGTATAGTGTTTAGGATTGAATAGACCAATCGATCAAATGTCGCTTTCAGGGAATGCACAGCAAAAGTGTTGAAGGATTTTGTTTTTGGCATTTTCTGTTCATACATTATTCCTTACTTCGATTCTGTCTCTCATTTCTCTTTCTCCGTTCTCATCTTTTGCATCTCCCTGGATCTTCCCTTCCACTCTCTTTGGGATCTCCACCCTTTCAACTTTACTTGGTTTATAAAAATTTTAGATTTGGGTTCTTTTAATTTTTTTTTTTTAATCAATCCAAAACTCCAACAATCTTCCCATCGAACAAAATACATTATAGGGTCTCTCTTGAGGCTTTCTTCTCTAGACCCTCGAACAGCCCTCTCTACACCTGAGCGCCTCCTTCTCTGGAGCACTTTGTTTGCCATCTATGTCACTATGACTACAACTTCAAAACTCACAAGTTAGACATAAAACTCAAATTTAACTCTTAAAAATTTGAATTCGTGAGAAAGGTAATAGAAACTTTTGTATTTTGTCCTCCTAGTACAAAAAGAGAAATTATTTTATAAAAGAAAAGGAAAATACCACAAAATAATTGTGTATAAATTTTATTTTCACTTCTTTCTTTTTAAAAGGATTTATTCAATGAAGAAAGAAATTGGAATAGAACCCAAAAAGAAGAAGAAAAGGAGATATTAGAAATCTCTACCATCGACAGAACAAAATGAAAAATAAAATCTAAGACAGAATAAGCCTGAAATTCAAAATTTTGTCCCCATGTTATCATTACTTGGCAGAAATTTCTTGGTCACACTGACCACAAATATTGCTGACCGAAGAAAAGAATAAAATCAGAGAATTGAGTACCAAAGAGGGGACAAATTTTATCCGTGCTTGATAAGATGTTTTCCTTTTCCGTATTTTCATGTTGAACGCGGCTCAAGGATGCTGGTTTCATGCAAGAGAACTCCTTACCCTGCCGAGGTTGAGTTTACCTGATTGAAAGCAAACGACTGTCAGCAGAAGCAAAGGTGGCTAAGATAAGAGTACCTGCCAAGCAGCAATGTTCCTAATTATACACCGAGGATCTAGACTATGCTGTGGCATAGGCAACAAATCCAAATAATATGCCGAGCCCATTTAGGACACACACCCGCATTCAACCTATAAGTCTTTGACCGATGGAATAAAAGTTCGAACGGGGTATTTTCTTCAACAACAGAACTTGAAGAACAAGAAAAGGCAAGGTCTTGCAGACATACAGCTAATTGTGCGAAGGTATATTTTGCGTTTCATTCGAACTCTTCTTTGATTTGTGCTTTGATTTCTTCTCCCTTTTTCACTCCTGCCAAGTTTGGATGGAATTTGTAATTAGCAGCTGGGAAACAAAATATAAGGGGTACTAGATTAAGCAAGAGGTAGACTAATTCTATTTAAGGTATCACAAGGTTGAATAAAATACTCGTCATTGGAGCCCAGTCCCCAGCAAGATTTTAATCTTCTGTTGATGTGCTTTAAATCCTTTTCTGATGGGAAGGCATATCTGTTGACCCGTACAGAGAGCACGACACAATAACACATTAGAAAAGAAACCAAACCACAGATTCGTATGAGATATTGATATAAATGTTCAAAAGAGGCAATCGGCTAAATTTATGTCTTCCTACTACTACTACTACTACTACAGTCTAAATTTTTGACTGCTGATTCAATCAGTTAAAAGATAAGACAATTTCATACCCACGATTCAATTGAATTTATACGCTCAAAGAGCTCGTAAATTGTATGTGCAGATTTTTGGCGAGAGAGGATACTGTCCAGGTGTCTGCACTTAAAGTGAGAAGAATAAATGAATCATTGAATATTAGGGATGGAAACAACGGAATGTGCCATTTTCCAATAAGAGATGGGAAGAGTTTTTATTATTTAATATTTAATTTTAAAAAATAATTTATCTAATAAAAGATTAAACATAATCAGCTTTCAATACATGAAAGCAGAAGTTTTTTCCCTTTTCCAAAAGGATGATGCCAATCTGATAATTACAAAAAGTCCAATTAACAAACACTCACAAATATGAGTTTAATCTACTCGCCTCGCAAAGCTCCTCACCAATATCTCAAGTCTCAACCATTCTAAACATTCCACTATTCCTTTTCAACCCAAAAAGGAGGGTTCAGAATAACTTATCCCAACATAGAGCACTCCAGTCCCGAAAAACTAACTTCAAAGGGAGTAAACAAAGGGCACTCTCAAGAAAGATGCTCGAGGTCTTCCTACTTCCTGCAAAGAACACACCATTTCGACCACAAACAAAAGAGGAAAGTCTCTCAAGATGATCCATAGTGTTCACTCTCACACACAAAACTTGTCATGCAAGAATTTCACTTTCTTAGGAATTTTAACCTTTCAAAAAGAGAATAAAGAGGCTCCCTAAAAGGGTAAAAAGGATATGGAAAATTCTCCCATGAGGAGTCACCTAGTGAAACACAATAGAAAGAACGTTGACACCCTCACATCCTCTCGCTCAATGAGGGGGCAGCAAAAATGCAGGAAACGAGAGGAAGAGTTATCAAAAGAGGGAAAAGGCAAGGCTACGGAATGCATCCTCTCATCAAACAAATGATAAAGATGTGGAAACAAATACAAAAGGGTCTTTCTCCTGCCTAAGAATCCTTAAAAATTTCGGAACTCAAGCCATCTCCAATAGAACAATTAACTAACAGAGAAAACAGAAGAAAACCCAAAGCAATAGCAGACAGAGCTTCTTGCTAGAACTCTTCAACATACTACCTGAAATCTATGCCAAATGGTGAAGTCCATAATTACATGCAATTAGGCTCCACCGTGGGCATTCAGCTCCTTGAAGAAACACCAAAACCATTTTGCCAAAAGAACTTAGTTACGCAATGCCTAAACCCGCAACCTCCACCGGCTTCAATACAGCCAGAATATAATCAAGATCATTGTTTCACTTTCATACAAAAAGACAAGCCCAAACTAGGAGCCAAACTTATAAAAAAAATAATCCAATTGTTAGATGGTAACAGACACCAACGGATGATTACCATATAACTCTCCACGATTTCTCAAAATTTTAATGAATAAATCATCTTTCATTAAATTAAATGAAAGGACATTAGAAGGCCAAAAAAAACTACTCAACCAACACAAGAACTTAAATGGAATTACAATCCCTAACGAAACTGTCTAAGAGCATGCAATAACAAATCCAGCATTGTAATTCTTTTCCGAGACGGAAATTTTTAAATAACTCAACGAATGTAGATGAGCAGTAAACGTTTTACCTATCGAAGTCAATAGCTCCATGACCTTGATTTGATCTGCATAATGCAGCCAATGCTAACTGCATGTGATCAATAAGATAGAATTAAATAGTACGTGACCAGGTTATCATTCAGATCAACATTATAAAATTTATTTCTTGAATAGAAGAGGAATGAATCGAGACAACCTCTAAACAAATTCTACCTCTCTGAAAGATAATGTAAAGATTCCAACCCCCTCTCGACGCGCGCACACACACAGAGTATTTTTCCACCCCTCACTTCCTTAGCATGAATTGATTGCATAAACCTAATTCCTGGATGTTCGTCATCAAGCTATTTTACGCATAACCAGGCCATTCTCCCACCCACTCTCCAGTTATATGGAATAATTACGCAAATAATTCAAAGGGAATTCCTGAGATGAAACCCAACAAACACAATAAAGAATTATGAAAAGATCCTGATGTGACAACTATGAAAACTGAACTTCTTTATTGAACTACGAAATGTAACGTCATCTAGCCATGTGTTGAACTGAAGAAATGATTAGCCGAGGGTAAATTCAAAACTTTAAGTTCAGTCCAGTAATAATTCAATTGTAGCACCAGTACATTAAAGAATCATTGTAGAGATTTAAGTCTTAAATTAGAAAATTTCGTACTGGAAATATAATAGAAAATAAGCACCTGCCCAGGGGGGAAGAGGAGTGGGGCATCTGTTAACATAATATTATCAACCTCTGACATTGCTGTTTCCTTCAGAAATCACAAACAAAGTCAACAAACGGTTAATTTTTTATATCAAGCACTTTTATGTGAATTATAACGAGACAGTTCAGTTCAAAATGCATGATGTAAATAATAAAAAAATATAAAATAGAGTTTCAAAAAAGGGGCAGAGAGAGAGAGACATAAGATAAGCATCGATTTTTCCTTGATGCAACTATGTTACAAGTATGTCAACCAATAAACTCACTAACAGTTTGAACTGAACAAAACTATCTTGCAATTATACGAGAGGCAACTTTCGCATATGTAACAAAAAATTGTTTTCTATTAAAATAAATAAGGCAACGTTCTTACTAAAAACATGTTAGGAATCACGAGTCTCCACAATGATATGATATTGTCCACTTTGAGCATAAGCTCTCATGGCTTTGCTTTGGGCTTCCCCAAAAGGCCTCATACCAATGAAGATAGTATTCATCACTTTATAAACCCATGATTTTCCACTAAATTAACCAATGTGGGATTCACTCCCAGTAATCCTCAACAATCCTCCCCCTCGAACAAAGTACACTATAAGCCTCAGGCTTATGGAGCTCTTGAATAGCCTCCCCTTAATCGAGGCTGGACTCCGTTCTCTGGAGCCCTCGAACAAAGTACACCCTTTGTTCGACACTCTAGTCACTTTTGACTACACCTTCGAGGCTCACAATTCTTTGTTCGATATTTGAGGATTCTATTGACATGGCTAAGTTTAGGGCATGGCTCTGATACCATATTAGGAATCACGAGTCTCCACAATGGTATGATATTGTCCACTTTTAGCATAAGCTCTCATGGCTTTGCTTTGGGCTTCCCCAAAATGCCTCATACCAATGGAGATAGTATTCCTCACTTATAAACTCATGATCTTCCACTAAATTAACCAATGTGTGACTCACTCCTAGTAATCCTCGACAAAACACACTTTTCATCTCACTCTATTTTCTTCCTACTCATACTTCTGATAATCTCAAGGAATACCTGCGGATCTTACAATAATTGAAGTTGAGAAGTAAAGCAACTTTAATTAAAAAAAAAAAAAAAAATTACTCACTAGGCTCTGTTTTAGGGGCTTGACTCCTAGCTGCCCCTTGTTTTATATGTCTGATCAATGCATTTATTTCTTGTCAACACATGCACAGGTTTCTTTGATCTCATTGACTGATTGTAATAATGCTCAGAAAAATGCAGCAAATAATTCTGACTTCACGTTGAAATTAGCAACAAATAGACTAGAGTTATCTGTGCCTCCATGGAAAGAAATTTCACCAATTAAAATCAGTGCATTGGTCAACAGGTTTACTGTAAAAACTGAAAGACCGGACATACCCATACAACAGTATATCTATTACATTGAACAATGAAACAATTACCTTCAGCATTTGAAGCATTTCAGTGTTCTCATGGAATAGTTCCTGAAAATATGCACCATTTATCACCAAGTGCAACATCAATGAAAGAGAAGGAAAAATTGTAACCAACTTTATAAGAAGGTAAAGAATGCCCAAGAAAAAACAGACGAATCTAGTTTAAGCATCGCCTGGAGAATCCACATTTTAAAAAAAGAAAAAAAAAAAAAAAAAA